ATGAGCCTGGCGCCCTCGTCTCCTCCCCCTCCTCCTCAACCCCTTCCCTAGCCTCCGGCAAGGTGAAGCTGGGCACCCACGTCCTCACTGGGGAGAAGGTGGCGGTGAAGGTGCTCGAGAAGGAGCGGATCGTCGAGGTGGCGGACGTCGAGCGCGTGGCGCGGGAGGTGTACATCCTCAAGCTCATCCGCCACCGCCACGTGGTGCAGCTGTACGAGATCATCGAGACCTCCTGTCAGTTATACCTCATCATGGAGTTCGCTTCTGGGGGGGAGCTCTTCGACCACATCGTGAGCTGTGGGCGCGTGGGCGAGCCGGAGGCGTGCCGGTTCTTCCGGCAGATCATCGACGGGGTCGAGGAGATCCACTCCATGAACGTTGTGCACCGGGACCTGAAGCCAGAAAACCTGCTTCTCGACGAGCACCAGCACATCAAGATCGTGGACTTCGGCCTCAGCAACACGTACAGGGAGGGGCAGCTGCTCGTGACCGCCTGCGGGTCGCCGTGCTACGCGGCGCCGGAGATGATCGCGGGCAAGAAGTACGTTCCGTCCCTGTGCGACATGTGGAGCTGTGGCGTCATCCTCTTCGCTATGATATGTGGGTACCTGCCGTTCGAGGACCAGAACTCGTCGGTCCTTTACCGCAAGATCCTCGCCGCGCAGTACTCCATCCCCAGTTTTGTCAGCCCCGGGGCCAGGAACGTTATCGAGGGGCTGCTCACGACGGACCCGCAGCAGCGGATGACCTCCTCGAAGCTGCGGCAGCACCCGTGGTTCAGCCTGGTCCAGCCCGACTGCTTCCTCTCGAGGTCTCCGAGCGCCCATTTCCATCACTTCGAGGACGACGTGCTCGAGGAGCTGGAAAAGTTTGGCTTCCCGACCGACCATACGCTGAGGTGCCTCCGCATGAACAAGCACAATGCCGTAACCACCACGTACCACCTGCTAGCACAGAAGAAGCGGCGCGTACTTCGGCAGGACCCGCTCGAGCAGGTCTCCCTGTCTGGCCTCCTCGAGGCAGACGTGGCGGCAGCCGCAGCGAGCGCGTCGCGCGCCGCCACGCCACGCGGCGCCAGCATCACTCCGCGCGGCGCTCCAGAGGGCCAGCAAGACGCCGCCAGAGCGTGGGATTGCCCGACCACGCCGAGGGCCCAGCTGGAAGGGCGCTCCAACGCCAGCGCCACGCCCAGGGGCGCCCCCGCGACGCCCAGGGGCGGCGCTGCCGAGTCCTGGGGCTGGGCCATCCCCGCAACGCCCAGGGGGCCCATGGAGCACGCGCAGCCCGCGGCTCCAAGAGAGGAGCGCTCCACCCCCAGAGGTGTGCAGACAGGCGCCCGGTCGCCGTCGCCGCGGCAGCCGCAGCCCCAGCCGGCCCCAGCCGCTGCCCAGCGTCCGCCCTCGACGACGCCTCGGTCGCCGAGGGCGTCTGCGCCCGCGGCTGCCACGGTGGCTGCGGCGACGGCGGCGGCAGCTGCGGCGGCCGCGGCCGCAGCCGCGGCGGCCGCGGCGACCGCCTCGGTGGGCAGCGGCGCACAGGCTGGCGCACTCGACAGCGGCCAGCATGTGCCGCCCTCGAGGTTCAGGCCGCGCGACCGGCTGTCGCTGGCCGCGGCGCACCAGTCGCCGGAGGGCGTGGTGCACCACCCGAACAGCCCGAGGACCGGGGGAGCCGCTGGCGTCCGCGCCACCTCGCCCAGTGCCGCCTCGGATGCCGCGCCGAGCGCGCCCAGCCGCAGTGCCCGGGCCACCTGGGCAGGCAGCAGGCCGGCCGCGGCGGCGGGCCTGGGCGGCGCGCTCGGCGCGGCCGCCGCGGGCAGGCCGAGATTCGCCAGGCAGTCCGCCGGCGAGGCGCCGGCGGGCGCCTCGCCGAGGCAGCACCCGTCGGCGAGCGCGGCGGCTGCTTCGGCGGCGCAGCGGGGCTCCAGGAGCGCGCGGCACAGCGTGGACGCGCTGGGATACTCGCCGCGCTCGCTGAGCTCCTCGCTGCCCGTCGGGGCGGCCGCCGCGGGGCCGCCCCGGGGCGGGGCCAGCTCGCCCAGGTGTTCGGGCGGCGAGGTCTAGACCTGTCCACCTCCCCTGCCTGGCCAGGTGCGGTGGACCCTGAGGTCCGACGTCAGTCCTCGAGCCAGATCGACCCGTGATGGCCCCGGGGCCCGGAGTCGGGCGACGCCGCCTGGTGCGGGCAGGACTGCGACGCCCAGGCCGATTGCACGTACGAGTGGCCTTCCGCCGGAGTGGCCTGTGGTGCGGGCCAGACGGGGTCCCCCGCTCGCCGAATGCGGTGCGATAGTCGCGTCTTGCGCGCCTGGGCTTGGCCCCTCCGCGGCTCCCCGGAAGCCGCGCACTCTTAGCAAAGGGCACTCTTGCGTTAAATCGGGCCTGTCCCCCTGCAGGGGGATTTTCGAGGGAAAAATAATATTAGTCGAAATATTCAAAAGTGAGAAAAAATATTCAAAACATCGTCCTCGTACTATTTCTTTTGACTATTTTTGAACATTCCTCCTGTAGAGGGACAGGCCCGACTTAATTCCTGCGTGCAGCCGACAGGTCTCCGAGGATGCGTTTTGCCCTCGTCGCCCTCAGGTGGTCGGAGCGCCCGAAGTCCAGCCGCCTGGCGACGCCGCGGGGCGGCCCAGCGGAGGAGCTGGCGCCGCAGGGCCAGGCTCTCGGGCTGGACGATCGGGTAGGACAGGGAACGGAGGCGGAGGAGGAGGAGGAGGAGGAGGAGGAGGAGGAGGAGGAGGAGGAGGAGGAGGAGGAGGAGGAGGAGGAGGAGGAGGAGGAGGAGGAGGAACGAAATCTGCTGCACGCAGCTGGTTTCCGCCCCGCCGCTGGGCTCATCCCTCGATGCAGTCGGACCAGGGTATACGATCGAGGCCGGGCATAGGGCACTTCAGTGTTCCTCGTGCTTGTTGGATGCTCTGGTGTGTATCCTGGCGAGGGTGCCCTTGGATGCTCTGTGTGCTTTGGCCGAGGGAGGGTCCTCACGTTTTTGAGGGATGCTCTTCTGGCCCAGGTCCGACTGTGCGAAGTCTGCTGCACGCAGCCGGTTTCCGCCCCGCCGCCTGGCCCATCCCTCGATGCATGGGCGCCTCCCAGCGCCAGGAGGCCCCAGGAGAGCCAGCTGCGTGCCCGGACTCTCCGCCCTGCCTTTCGTCGTCCTGCCCCTCTCGTCCCCCCCGACAGTCACCGCCCACCAAACCACCCCAACCCAGCCCGAAGGCTTCAATTTTCACTCCATTTCCAGTGGGGGGGGGTTCGGGGAGCATTGACAAAAATACATATGGAACCCGTATCCCCCCGAAATTCGGGTCTTCGGGTTGGGTTGGGGTGGTCTGGTAGGTGGTCAGACAGGCGTCGCTGTCGCCGAGGGCCGTGGACGCCGCTGCCGCCCAGGAGGCCGCGGCGCCCGCGCCGCTGTCCGCGCGGGAGGCCCGCGAGAGCCTGCGGGCGGCCTACGACAGCCTGCGGACTGTCTTGGGCGCCCGGCCCAGACCCCCCCTGGTCCTGAGCAGAAGCACCACGGGAGACATTTCTCTGTAATTCAAAGGCGCCTGTGGCGAATTGCCGCCGCCCCCTGCCTTCTGGGATCGCCCATGTGGCCGAGCGTTGTGCTACGAGCTCTGCCAAGCTATCGGGCCGTGTGTTCCCCCAGCCGTGGTGGGAAACCCTTCGGGGAACACTTGGGGGAGGATGGCGGGGAAGATCAGGAGGAGGAGGAGGAGGAGGAGGAGGAGGAGGAGGAGGAGGAGGAGGAGGAGGAGGAGGAGGAAGGAGGAGGAGGAGGAGGAGGGAGGAGGAGGAGGAGGAGGAGGAGGAGGAGGAGGAGGGGGAGGAGGAGGCATCTTGGGAGCCTCAGGGGGCACCCCTGGGGCCTCCTGGGAGCTTCCCGGGAGCCTCTTGGAGGCATCGTGGGGGCCCTTTGGGGGCCTTTGGGGGCGTCTCGGGGGCCTCTTCGCTCGCCTTAGGGCGTTCCTGGCCCGTCTGACGCCGTCGGAAGCCGTCTTGGGGGCCTCTCTGGGCGGACGTGCGGCCCCCTTGGGGTGCTCCAGGGCCGTCTTGGAGGCCATCCTGGGCGTCTTGGATGCCTCTTGGGCCGTCTTGTGGCCGTCTTGGGGGCCTCTTGGGCCGTCCTGGGGCCATGTTGGAGGCCACTTGGGTCGATCTTGGGGCGATCTCGGGGGCTTTTGAGGCCGTCTTGGACCGTCCGAAGGCCGAAAAGGTGCAAGTGCCATCATCTTTCAAAAACCCATTGACAATCAATACTTTTGGCCTCTTCGGGCCTTCCTGGAGGACCTGTTGGAGGCCTCTCTGGCCGCCTTCGAGGCCTCTTAGGGGGCCTTTTGGGGCCGTCTGCCGTCATCTTGAGGCCATCTTGGGCCGTTTCGGCAGCCTCTTGGGCAAACTTGGAGGCATCTTGGAAGCTCTTAGGCCGCCGTGGAGGCCATGTTTGACCATCCTGGGCGAGCCGGCCCTCGGGTCCGAGGCGGGCTCCGAGGCAGGCGGACCGCCTGCGGCCGAGCGCGGCCCCCGCCCGCCACGCGCCGCTCAAACTGAGTCTTGATCTGTTCAATACGAGTTCCCGAACTTTTTTTATATGTAAAAAATACGGGTTCCCGAACTCCCGACCCTCAGGAAAAAAATGCTCATCCCCACTCATTTCCTGACAGTCCCATTAGGATGCAACCATTGGGAGGTCTTCGTCGGAAGGATCAAGGAGGATGAAGCCCCAAGGGGGCGCTGTTGGGCCAGATTGGGCCTCGCATTTAGCGGGATTGAGCCGGATGAGGCGGGATTGAGCCGGATTAAGCGGGATTAAGCGGGATTCGGCCAGATTAAGCCGGATTTCGGACCAGGGCGAAATCAGAATTTGACCTCCCAGGAGTTGCATCCGAGGTCCCAGGAGCCTGGGCCATCTTGGCCGTCTTGGAGGCCGTCTGGGGCCATCTTTGGGCCCGCTGAAGCGGGAAAAAAAAACGTGGGCAGCCGCCTCTGGGCAAGCCTCTTGGGCGGTCGGCGCGCTGGGCCGAAGCCCCAAGGGGGAGTCCTTTCAGAAAAGAACCAAAACCTCAAACCCCAAACCCTAAACCTTAAATTCTTAATTCTTAATCCTATAATTATTAAACCCTGAATAACCCAAAAGCGGTCGTTATGCAATCCCGCTCCATCTATGGCCAAAAATAGCATTTCCTGAGCATGCGTGCAGAATTTCTTATTTTTTACAGCACAAAGTGCCCAGTCCCCGTCGCGAGCCGCCTCCATCTACTGCAAAAAAATAGCATTTCCTGCGCATGCGTGCAGAATCTTTTTTTTTACAGCACAAGTGCCCAGTCCCCGTTGCGACCCGGTTATGTAAACCCGCTCCATCTACTGCAAAACATAGAATTTCCTGATCCTGAGCATGCTCCATCCTGAGCATGCGTGCAGAATCTCTTTCATTTTACAATACAAAATGCGACCCCCTTATGTACACCGGCTCCATCTCCTGGACAACCTCGCGCTTCCTGCGCATGCATGCAGAATCTTTAGCCCGTTAGAGCACTCGCGTGCCAACTGGATCGCACATCCGTCGTCGCCGTCGTCGTCGTCGTCGTCGTCGTCGTCGACGTTGCACTCGCTGTGGTTATACCGAGGGGAGAGATGATCTTTATGGTGGGGTGGCGTGCGGGTGGGAGTGACGGCCACCGCAGGTGGGTTCGCGGTCCAGGTGCACTCGTGGCCACGCCTAGTAGACCCTAAACCCGCTCCATCTATGGCATAAGATAGCATTTTCTGAACATGCGTGCAGAATCTCCCATTTTTTACAGCACAAAGTGCCCAGCCCCCGTCGCGAGCCCCCTCCATCTACTGCAAAAAATACAATTTCCTGCGCATGCGTGCAGAATCTTTTTTTTACAGCACAAAGTGCGCCCCGCTTATGTAAACCAGTTCCATCTATTGCCAAACTAGTCTTTCCTGAGCGCGCGTGCAGAATCTCTTGTATTCTACAATACAAAGTGCCTTCCGTTGCGACCCGATCCACCGATTCCACCGACTCGCGTTTCCTGCGCATGCGTGCAGAACCTCTTCCGCCCGACCCGACTCGTCCCGCCCGTTACAGCACTCGCGTCCCAACTGGATCGCACATCCGTCGTCGCCGTCGTCGTCGTCGTCGACGCTTTATTCGATGCGGTTCTCACGAGGTCACGAGGGGAGAGATGATCTTTATGGTGGGGTGGCGTGCGGGTGGGAGTGACGGCCACCGCAGGTGGGCTCGCGGTCACGTTGTACTCGTGGCCACGCCTAGTAGACCCTAAACCATAAACCCTAAACCCCATAGCCTACATTCTTAATCTTATAATTATCAAACCTTAATTGCCATAAAACCAGTCACCATGTAACCCCCCTCCATCTACGGCAAAAAAACATTTCCTGAGCATGCGTGCAGAATCTGGTATTTTTTACAACACAAAGTGCCCAGTCCCCGTCGCGACCCGGCCCCATCTACTGCCAAGCATGCGTGCAGAATCTTCCATTTTTTACAGCACAAAGTGCCCAGTCCCCGTTGCAACCCCGTTATGTAAACCCGCTCCATCTATTGCAAAAAATAGAATTTCCTGATCCTGAGCATGCTCCATCCTGAGCATGCGTGCGGAATCTCTTGTATTTGACAATACAAAATGCAACCCCCTTATGTACACCGGCTCCATCTCCTGGACAACCTCGCGCTTCCTGCGCATGCGTGCAGAATCTTTAGCCCGTTAGAGCACTCGCGTGCCAACTGGATCGCGCGTCCGTCGTCGCCGTCGTCGTCGTCGTCGTCGTCGACGTTGCACTCGCTGTGGTTATACCGAGGGGAGAGATGATCTTCATGGTGGGGTGGCGTGCGGGTGGAAGTGACGGCCACCGCAGGTGGGTTCGCGGTCACGGTGTACTCGTGGCCACGCCTAGTAGACCCTAAACCCTAAACCCTAAACCCCAAACGGTAGGGCCTACAGTGGGGTTATGCTGCTCCCATCCTACTTAAGGGCCGCATCCCAGAAATAATTTCGAGCACCCGGAGAAGTGTCAAAAGAGTGTCGAAATAATGTAGAAACAGTGTCGGGCGAGTGTCTCCCAGGGCCCGAGACGTGAAACCCCTCGAGTTTCGGTACTTTTTTTTCTGGCGCTCGAAATTCTTTCTGGTGGTCAAGGCTAAAGTAGGTTGGAGCATCATAACAGTGGGGGCGCGCATCAAGAAACCATATGCTTTTCGTCGGGGTATCCAGGGTTTCTTCGCTCCTCGCGCTGCGCGGCGACTTCACGCGGCCGTTGAAGGAACTGCTGCGTTCGGGGTGCTCTGGGTTTCCCCTCAGGTGCACCTCGCGCACGGGTTCTCAGGGTTGGGTCTCTTGCGAGGGTCTCTTGTGGCCGCGCCCGCACTGTAGCACCCTAGACACCCCCGGCGGATGACGGAAAGCGCGCGTAGCGTCGCGATCCGTTGGCCGGGAGAAATGACAAGGGGTGGGGTGGGGTGGGGGTACACATTGTTCATTTCTAATCATTCGAAGGTTCTTTGACTTTTTGGGGGCCAAGATTCTTTCACTTCTAATTGTTCTATCCTGGGCCTCTTCCTGGCCACTAGGGGGCCAGGAACAATTAGAAGCGACCACAATTAGAAATGAGCACGATTAGAAATGAACGACGTGTAGGCAGCCCGGGCGTCAGATGACTGAAAGCGGGCCCTCTTGAGGGCTTCATTGGGCTGTCTTGGGGCGCTCTTGGAAGCCTCTTGGGCGGGCCCTCTTGAGGGCTTCCTTGGGCCGCCTTGGGGCGCTCTTGGAAGCCTCTTGGGCCGTTCTGGGGCGGTCTTGGGAGGCTCTCGGATCGTCTTGGACGGACGTTCTGAAGACCACGCAGGCGAAGGTGCTGAAAATGGCAGTTCCCTGCAGGGGATCTGACGATTCTTGCTTGTTGGAATGCTCTCGGCATCACATTAGGGCACCACGTTGCCAAAGTCGTCTGTCTCCCTTACGATTCCCAGCCATCCTGTGGTGTTGGGTCCTCGTTTTGAAGAGACCGTACCCCGCGTTCTCCTCCTTCCTTCCTCCTTCCTCCTCCTCCTCCTCCTCCTCCTCCTCCTCCCTCCTCCCCCTCCTTGCCTTTGCTCTCAGCATGTCTCGGTTTCGGCATACCCCTCACACGTTTTGTGGCCCCACAGGGAGCTCCACCTAAGGTCCCAGTGGCGCAGCCCGCATGGCGCCGCCGCCCCATTGTGGCACACCCCTCAAACGTTTCGTGGCCCCACAGGGAGCTCCACCCAAGGTCCCAGTGGCGCAGCCCACATGGCGCCGCCGCCCCATTTTGGCACACCCCTCACACGTTTCGTGGCCCCACAGGGCGCTACACCTAAGGTCCCAGTGGCGCAGCCCGCATGGCGCCGCCGCCCCATTGTGGCACACCCCTCATACGCTTCGTGGTCCCATGGGGAGCTCCACCTAAGGTCCCAGTG